GGGGAGAACTATCCAACCAAAAACATCATTATATAAAGAAAAAAACATTAATTACACCCACCTATAAAAGAAAAAGGATTCAATTATCTTATCCAAAATGTGGATAGTCTCCCAACACTTCTTAGCCACAAGCACACTTTTAAGGAAAAAACAAATGCCACCTTTCGGCAAAAACGAATACTCCAATATGCAAAATAAACAACGATGTACGTCACTCCGTACAAGGGATCACTAAAACAAAATAAAAAATCAACAAAGATTACCTAAAAAATAATTTAATTTTTTGAACAAAATTAATTAAATCGAAATTACTTATATTAGTAATAAGTTCCAAAAAATTCTCCAACGGAATAATAGAAGTTCCAAACACACTTTCCCGAATTTTTTCTAACTTAGAGCATTTAGCAATCACGTGAAAAGCATCCAATAGCTGATCATCCTGACAATACATGCAAATTTCTCTGCGATAATTCTATAAAAGAAAAAGGATTCAATTATCTTATCCAAAATGTGGATAGTCTCCCCGTATTAAATAATTAAATTAACTTATTATTTTATAGAAATTTTTCAGCAAAAAGACCTTGGTTTTTTTTTTTTGCATTTTTAACAAAATTTAGTTAAACCTGAAAAGGTTTTTCAGGTTTAACTTTAGAATGCTTTTTTCAATTTCAAATCTGATTGTACTGTTGAATCTAACATAAAAAATCCTTTAAAGTTTTTGCGTCACAAGATAAGAGTTATCATTTTAAATGTTAAAATTAATGCCTTTAAAGTTAAATTATTAAAATAGCATGCAAAAATGCAATTTTTGGATCTGTTAATAAAGCCAAAGTTTTTATCTATTAAGACAAGAGCTAGAAGTCTGACACATCCTTTCTGGGACACATTGTGTATGTAATAATTATAATAAACTGTCAAAATATATAATGATAATACGGTTTAGAATGAAAATGGCGGGAAAAATACAACTAATCCATCTAGTGGTAAAAAAAAAACGAAATTACTTTCTGAATAACCCAATAAATTAGAAACTTTGCTGACAGTATTTACATTTACATTAAAATATATAATATCACCAATCTACAACAAAATTGTCTTTGTTTTTCTTTTCTGTCATTACAAACACCAGTGACAGTTCAAAATTGTNTCTTAAGTATTTAAAAAAAACAAATGTTTTATTTCTTTAAAAAAACCCATAAATTTTGAATAGATAGATAGATAACATTTTATTGCACCAAAAAACATCCGTGCATCATTCCAGCTGGATCCAGCTGGAATGATGTTGGTCTAGCAAAAATCCAGCTGGATTAAAAACATTGCTTGATTGCAATCCCTAGAGCCTATACATCGAGCTTTGAAACTAAACCAATTTGTTTCAAGTAATCATAAACAGTTCAATTTGACAAATTTAATCTCTTAGTGATTTCACATGTTGTTATTTGGCAGTTTGCTTCAATCATTACCTTTATTTTGTTTTCATTGGCTCCAACTGGCCATCCAGAATGTGGTGCATTTTCAATATTGAAATTGCCAGAACGAAATTTTGTAAACCAGTTTTGGCACTGTTGTTCTGTCAATACATCTTCTCCATACACATCACATAATTTTTTTCTTGCTTGAACAGCATTCTTACCTTATCGGTAATAAAAGAGCAAAATATGCCGAAAATGCTGCTTTCGATTTTCCTTATTTGATGGGACACAAAAAATAAACAATTGCACAAAATCAAACAAAATTTTTTACAAATAAGCCTGAAAATGTTAGCTGTCAAAATATATAATGATAATACGGTTTAGAATGAAAATGGCGGGAAAAATACAACTAATCCATCTAGTGGTAAAAAAAAACGAAATTACTTTCTGAATAACCCAATAAATTAGAAACTTTGCTGACAGTATTTACATTTACATTAAAATATATAATATCACCAATCTACAACAAAATTGTCTTTGTTTTTCTTTTCTGTCATTACAAACACCAGTGACAGTTCAAAATTGTTTTGGACCATCACTGGTGTTTGTAACAACAGAAAAGGAAAACAAAGACAATTTTATAAATTCATGATATTCATTGTATATTTTAATGTGAATTAATTAAATGAAATATATTACATTTTTATTAGTCTTACTTATTGCTATTAAAAAAGAAATAACTAACCAAAAATAAATTAGAATATAGTGTAATCTGTGAGATGAAAAAGATTTGGGCTTCACATGTGCAAATTACACTGTTTTTGTATCTTGAATACTCAATAACTTAAAAAACTGTTAATTATTTTGGCTTTATGCTTATGAAGACTTTTGATCATGACTATTAGAACTACAAAATATTATAGATTAATCCAAATCTATTTGGACTTATTTCCCATAAGGTTTGTACAGTCCTTTAAAAGCAGTTCATAAATTTTAAAATAAAGTTGTAAGAGAAGAATAAAACAAAAGTTTTTTATAGCAGTAATTTAAAATTATCATTTAACTTACAATATAAATATAATGAAAATTAACTAGAATTATTTTAAACTTCATTTAGAATGTAATTGTTATAAAATTAATTTAAGAATTTTTAAACAGATATAGATATAATTGTCACTTCTATATAAGATTAAAATACTGATTTCTAAATTTTCTTAATGAAAAGCAAAAATTAAATGCTCCAAAAGCCATAATTGCATTAATTGTCAGTGTTTAGGCTTTATGCATTTTATTATAATTATATATATATATATATAATTATAGTAAAATGCATATATATATATATGTAAATAAATAAATTAATGTGAAATTTCTTTATATTGAATTTGAAATATTTTAAAGAAAAATTAAAACTTAAACTTAATAATTATATATTTGAAAACTACAAATTTTACATTATTCTATTGAGTATTATTTCTGAATGTTATAATATATCAAACTAAATTTACAAATTTTATTTATAGAATACACAATGGATTTTTAAAATAGTGAAATGTTTGACATTATCATATTTATTTTTGACTATATCAACTTGTTGGATTAACTGGCTGATTCCATATAGTTCTTGGAGGTAACATTTATAAATATATATTGTAAATGTATTAAATAATTATTTATTTATTTATTTATTTATTTAATTAGACATACTAGGCAGAGCCCATGATGCGGGGTATACAATAATTCGTTACATGTACATTACACAAAAAATATCATAATCCATCCATTATTACAGAGAAAATTAGCATATACATAAATCAAAACAAATTATACAAGTATTATTATAAACATCAAAAATAAATATCTGAAAAAATAAATATCTGAAAGCCAAATATCCAAATATAGACATATAACATAACAAAAAATCATCATGGGGAGAACTATCCAACCGAAATCATCATTATATAAAGAAAAAAACATTAATTACACCCATCTATAAAAGAAAAAGGATTCAATTATCTTATCCAAAATGTGGATAGTCTCCCAACACTTCTTAGCCACAAGCACACTTTTAAGGAAAAAACAAATGCCACCTTTCGGCAAAAACGAATACTCCAATATGCAAAATAAACAACGATGTACGTCACTCCGTACAAGGGGTCATTAAATTAGTAATAAGTTCCAAAAAATTATCCAATGGAATAATAGAACTTCCAAACACACTTTCCCAAATTTTTCCTAACTTAGAGCATTTAGCAATCACGTGAAAAGCATCCAATAGCTGATCATCCTGACAATACATGCAAATTTCTCTGCGATAATTCTATAAAAGAAAAAGGATTCAATTATCTTATCCAAAATGTGGATAGTCTCCCC